TTACATTTATTCATTTTTATTTTTATTTTTAAAAATATAATAAATAAAGTTTTTTGGAAAATCTATATATGAGAAAACTAATTTCAATAAAAAAAATAAACAGACTTTCTTATTTAATTGGGAAACATCCTCTCAGTGTGCTAATAGCTCAGATAAACTTTCTAGAATATTTTTATTGATTAGAAATAAAATTATCACGGAATGGGTATAACATCAGTATAGATTAAAAGGTGTCTTGGAATCTGCGAGGATATATAAAGTGTGTTATATATATTTTTAAACAGCTCGACAGGTTAAGTCTGTCCGTCAGTTTGTTTCAGTTTAAATTAATCCCTTAGTTTTTGGGATATTTGAATGAAACTTTGCGCACATCCTTCTTGGGAGCAGATCTTGATTAATTTTTCGGCTTAAAGATATTTGTAAAGCATTAAAAGACGTCGTGAGATCTATGAGAATCTAAAAAGTATATTATACATATTCTATATCAGCTTTACGAGTTAGGTGTTTGCGTCAGTCTGTTTCAGTTTAAATCAGTCCTTTAATTTTTGGAATAATTAATGGATCTTGATTAATTTTCGGATTAGCTGAATTTCTATATCTCACAGCTGTCATATGAACTGAAGAGGACCTATTTGGATATGTAGAAAACTACACTTTTAATAAAGATATTCATAAAAAATGTAGCACAGCGGATTTGTTCATATTTATATGAGAGAATATATAAAATTATTTATATCAGTTTAGATATACTATAGATGTACCTGCCATATAAATTGTCAAAATAGAAATGTGTTTTTATTATTAAAATTTGAGCTTTATTTAGGTATTATAACATATTTACTTAAAATTCAGCACTTAGGGCTAATTTATAGAATGTAATCTGCTTTACTTCTATAAACGTCTTTAGTAGCCAGGTTAAGGGCTACTTAGCAATTTTACTCAAAATATAGAATCTCTGAGTTAGTACTCAAAAGTAAATCAGGAGTATTTAAGTTAATATCTCTTCTATCAGGGCACTGATCCATAGGAGGGTATGGGAGCACGCTTGGTTTACACTGTAGTATCAACTGTTGGAATTGTTTATTGGAAGTCGCGAAAAAGACAGCAGAATATCTGTTGTGTTTATGTTCAGGTTTGTCCAGAACCAGGCTTAAGCTATTGGGTATCACACTCTTTAATACACTCGGCTATATTTTCGGCACTAGCGTTGGCCATATTCTCGCATATATAAATGTTTTCAGATGGTTCTAACATGATCATTCTGTATCTATATTGACGCCGTATAAAAATTGGCTATTTAGGAACATGTTTTTCTAATAACAAATTTTTAGATACATCTTGTATGAAAACCGATGATTTACGAACATGTTTTTTTATTTAAAAATTTTGTTTTTGTTTTGTAATGTATTTACTTTTAATTTAAATTTTAGGTGTGTGTTGTGGAAGAAAACACTCATAGTAATAATAATATTGATCGGTTCAGATTTAGATATCCAGTAATCCTCCCTATAACGCGGAACCACTCTAACACGTTGTAGAGGTATACTATACTATACTATATAAGAGGTATACTATAACGTATACCCTGTATACACACGCGCAAAGGTACGTGTAGCTAATTATGAACTGCACAAATTCCCGCGTTATATGGGGGAATGCCCGTGTTATACGGGGGTTTGAAATCGTGTAACATGAAAACGCGTTATAATGGTACCGCTGATAGGAGGGATTACTGTAGTTGTCTAAATCTCTTAAGGTTTAAG